TAGACTTACTTGACAATATTGATAAGGCAGTTTCCTACAGAGAGGCGTCTAAAGCTAAGGACTTTCTTGCCGAAGCTAAGGATGCTATAACTCATAGAAATAAATTGATACGTATTGCTGACGGTTCAGATCTTGGGTGGTCTACCATAAATGAGTACGAGTTACTGGAAGTAGCGTCTGATTCAGATGATGATAAAAGAATTCGTCGTGCTGAAGAGCGCGCTAAAAAGAAGGCTGATAGAAATGCTTATTTTAATAATAACAGTTTTGCTAGTTCTTTTCGTAACAGCAGAATTTCCAGAGCCGCAGAAGGACGTCGTTTTGGTCACGGAGACTTGGAAGGACGACGTTTTGTTCCGGGAGAAGTCATTTGTTTCAAGTGTGGCCAAGAAGGGCATTATGCCAATTTCTGTTCCTCACACCGAAGAGCTTTCATGGTGCAGCAATCCAGCAACAAAACAGCTTCAGCAGCAGCAACAAATTCTGATGCCACCCAACTCCTAGCACCAGAAGATAACAAACAAGAATGATCTGTGTGTAAGACTATCGAAATATGGCTTGTTTGATTCATGTAGATGGAAAGACTTAACAGACACATGCAACAGTTCTGGTCTTCCGATGTCCGTTGTTTCAGAAGTAAAACACACTATTTAGGGTAGCAGAGAACATAGTACAGTGAAAAATTATATGTATGCTTTTGAAAATTTTTGTAATTGGTGCGATAAATGGAAGTTATCTTCTTTGCCAGCTTTGCCTGTCACAATCGCGCTTTTTTTAGTTTCGCTTATTCAGATGAATACATACACGGGGGAGGAAGTGTTACACGAAGGATGGAGTTCTTATGATAACTTGTTTGGAGTTCTTATGATAACTGTCACGGAGTTCCTGGAAAATGTTACGGATTTCTGTGGAAAACTTTTCTATATACTTGGAGAACTCGCCTAAAAAATGGTTATTTTTAACTTTAAATGGGGAGTTTGAGGTGCTAAATTAAACTTTGATAATTAAGCTTGCCCTACATATTGTATTATGTTTCAGAAAAAATCTTTTAGTCCATATTTCGTCGCCGTTTAAAAAAAATCTGGAAGTTTTGAGAAAAATTTCCAAATTACTTGCTAATTCGTACATATTGACCTTTTCATTTGTGATCTTCTTCGTTGCTATACATAATCACCTAATTATAGTGGAGAGTTGCAAACATAAAGCCCGGGCTAATAAATGTATACCCGATTTTTCAAATGTTACGGAGTTCTTGTGATAACTCAAAATATGTCCTGGAGTTCTTATGATAACTTTTGTTACTGCCAGTGTGTTTCTTGTGCTTAATTACGGCACGTTTAAGCGTATTTTATTAGTCAGTAAGTGTGTAAATCATTATGAAGCATAGTACGCTTATCATTTGCACAAAAATTTGGTTATATAACGTTGGTTTTGATCGTGTTTTAGTTCCTAATTAAATTTGTGCGAAATCATATTGACATTATAAAACCCAACGAATGCACTAAATGTTTCTGTGTATACTGTTCGTCAACAAAAGTTTTTATGTCATAAGTTTCCGCAAAATGCAACATTGAGGTCATGTGGCGAAATTAAAACACGATCATTCAATATATCTGGGGAAGACATGAAACTGCTTTGGTGTACAGTCTACATAGGATAAACAGGTGCTAAGCTATCTTCAGGAACGACCGCCTCCATGGTCGAGGGGTTTGAGTCGATGACTTCTAATCCAGTTACCTCTCTGGCGTGGGTTCGATGCTTTTATTTGCGTTAATCGTTAAGTATGTATGTAATATTTCTTACTTGTATGTAAATATTACATACTTAGCGATTAACACATAAAAGTATATGTCGTGCTCGTGCCTATGTGTTAAAAAATGAGAGGGTACATGTGATATGAAAATTCAAATGAAGAGTGGTAGCCCGTGCCGCTGCAAAACCGAAAGTAGGGTGTTTTTATGAATTTTTCATTTATTTTTGACAATATACTGCCATTTGTCCGAATATGATATGTATATGAACATATTAAATATGTGTGATGATGCAAATATAATCAAGCCAAAGGTTCATTTCAGCCCGAAAAATATGTCGATGTGATGGGCGAGGCAAGACATGTCGATTTTTAGCTCGACTATTCGCAGAATAATCGAGCTAATGCAGTCACCCATTTGTCGGCGTCGGCGTCGGCGTCGGCGTCGGCGTCCCTGTGGTTAAGTTTTTGTATGTAAGCTGGTATCTCCATAACTACTGAAGGGAATGGATTGAAACTTCACACACTTGTTCTCTGTGATTATCTAAGATGATTGGCACAAGTCCCATAACTCTGTTTTGCTTTTTTACATAATTATGCCCCTTTTTCGACTTAGAAATTCTTGGTTAAGTTTTTGTATGTAAGCTGGTATCTCCATAACTACTGAAGGGAATGGATTGAAACTTCACACACTTGTTCTCTGTGATTATCTAAGATGATTGGCACAAGTCCCATAACTCTGTTTTGCTTTTTTACATAATTATGCCCCTTTTTTGACTTAGAAATTCTTGGTTAAGTTTTTGTATGTAAGCTGGTATCTCCATAACTACTGAAGGGAATGGATTGAAACTTCACACACTTGTTCTCTGTGATTATCTAAGATGATTGGCACAAGTCCCATAACTCTGATTTGCTTTTTTACATAATTATGCCCCTTTTTCGACTTAGAAATTCTTGGTTAAGTTTTTGCGTGTAAGCTGGTATCTCCATAACTACTGAAGGGAATGGATTGAAACTTCACACACTTGTTCTCTGTGATTATCTAAGATGATTGGCACAAGTCCCATAACTCTGATTTGCTTTTTTACATAATTATGCCCCTTTTTCGACTTAGAAATTCTTGGTTAAGTTTTTGCGTGTAAGCTGGTATCTCCATAACTACTGAAGGGAATGGATTGAATCTTCACACACTTGTTCTCTGTGATTATTTAAGATGATTGGCACAAGTCCCATAACCCTGATTTGCTTTTTTACATAATTATGCCCCTTTTTCGACTTATTAATTCTTGGTTAAGTTTTTGTGTGTAAGCTTGCATCTCCATAACTACTGAAGGGAATGTATTGAAACTTGAAGGGTTTGTACCTTTTTGGACAATTTTATGTATTCATAAAGGTAAGCATTATTATACTCAATGAAACACCCTTGTGACAAATTTTCGGAATAGTCGAGCGTTACTGTCCTCCGACAGTTCTTGTTTGTAGCTTATTGTGAATTTGCAGTACATGAAAAACGTGCACATGGCAAATCAGCACATAAATAAAACATTCTAGTGTTCCGTGGTATACATCTTTTCTACGTGTCATACCTCCTTTCCTTATTACAATGAAATTTTACTGGATTGTTATCCATCGCTGGTTTGTTTTTAGCAGAGAATGACCTGTGCATGTTCGAAGAGGGTACCGTTTGAGCAGATTTCGCAAAGAGGGTACCGATATGGATATGCACCGTGTAGTTGGGCTTCCCTCAAGAAGCGGCTAAGTAAATTGTATCATTATATACCATGTATCGTAAATAACCTGGATATCCTTTACACCCATGCACCCGAAATGTATGATCTTTTTATGCATAAAAATCAACCGATTACTACCGATCTCATCGACAAATTTGCACGTGCCCTACGGGTTCGAGCGAAAGAAGTTCGACAATATATTTTTGTAATCAATTACAGCAAAAGTTGTTGCAAAATTTCCACAAGGACTCCAACTTTGATAAGAAAAATGTATGCAGTAATTTTCCGAAATATGGAAATTGCTGTACGTCACGTGATGCTACATTGGATTTAATAGAGAAAGGAACAAGGTCGATAAACGGCATGAACCTTACGGTGACTCACATATCTTATTGAAGACTTACTTTCTATCGTCATATCATTGTCATAGAACTTTATACGTTTCTATGACAAAAACTGATACCTTTTAGAAATTGAAATACCCGTTGAAACATAAAGACGACACCCACCTCATTAAATTTAGATAAAAGTAGTGCATACTACCTCCTATTTTGCTGAAAACCATTTACATGCATACCGATAGCATAGTTACTTAATGTTCTCTAAAACTGCCAGGAATAATGTATATATGACGAAATCATGATTCAAAGCGCTTTTTTATCCTGTAAGTAAATGCTCTACATCAAGTATGTTTACAGTCATTCCAATAAAATATAAAAAAAAACACACACACAAAAAGACCAAAACAAACACAAAAAACACAAGAAACGGAGGTAAGAAAAATATCTCTTGAACTGGAAAACACGATCAAAACCAACGTTATATAACCAAATTTTTGTGCAAATGATAAGCGTACTATGCTTCATTATGATTTACACACTTATTGTTTAATAAAATACGCTTAAACGCGCCGTGATTAAGCACAAAAACACTCCAGGACATATTTTGAGTTATCACAAGAACTCCGTAACATTTGAAAAATCGGGTATAAATTTATTAGCCCGGGCTTTATGTTTGCAACTCTCCATAATAATTAGGTAATTAAGTATAGCAACGAAGAAGATCACAAATGAAAAGGTCAATATGTACGAATTAGCAAGTAATTTGGAAATTTTTCTCAAAACTTCCAGATTTTTTTAAAAAAGGCGACAAAATATTGACTAAAAGATTTGTTCTGAAACAAAATACAATATGTAGGGCAAGCTTAATTATCAAAGTTTAATTTTTTCACCTCAAACTCCCCATTTAAAGTTGAAAATAACCATTTTTTAGGCGAGTTCTCCTAGTATATAGAAAAGTTTTCCACAGAAATCCGTAACGTTTTCCAGGAACTCCGTGACAGTTATCATAAGAACTCCAAACAAGTTATCATAAGAACTCCATCCTTCGTGTAACACTTCCTCCCCCGTGACATATTCATGCGGGAAATCTAAGTTAAATCAAAATGTCTATGCTATAAATTGGGCGCATGAAACTGCGTATTTTAAAGAAAATCCTTGTCAAGATAGATGGCTTAAATTATGTTTAGAAGGCTGTATAAGAAAGATTTCGAGGCCTGTACAGAAAAAGAGCCTAATACTCCTGATGTGCTGAAATTACTCATTAAACGTTTTGTTTCTGAAAAGTGTTCATTGGCAGATTTAAGAATTGTAACATTGTTTGTGATTTGTTTTGCTGGTTTTCTAAGAATTTCAGAAGGTCTTTATTTAAAACGTTGTCATATTGATTTCAAAGATGATCATTGTTCATTATATATTGAAAATGCTAGAACAGATTTATATAGAGAAGGAAATTATGTAGTTTTGGCAAAAACTGGAAAGTTTTCATGCCCGGTGCAATTATTACATAGATATATTACAGAGGCTGGTTTGATGGAATGTTATGATCAGTTTATTTTTAGAGCTGTAGTGTTGTGTAAAAAGTCTAACAAGTATGTATTAAAACGTAAAAATGCTCCACTTTCTTACTCGAGAACACGGGAACTTTTTAATCAAAAACTTACTTCAATAGGACTAGAAAGTCATCAATACGGTTTGCATTCACTAAGGTCAGGTGGAGCTCTTATTTGTGCTAATTCTGGTACTAATGATAGACTGTGGAAAAAACATGGACGTTGGCGTTCAGAGACAGGTAAAGATGGATATGTTGAAGACAGTTTGAAACAACGTTTGTCTGTGTCACTAAATCTTAACATTTAATGAATTCGTGCAGCTTATGTTGAATAACTTTTTATAATATGAAGTGATTATATGCTTGTGATTATATTCAGTCAATGATCGATTTAATTGTGGAATTAAATACTAGTTTATAATCTTATATTTTGTGTAAGTGTTATATAGATTTATCATGAGTAAATCATTGGTGTGATTTGACAAGGCTTCATACAGACGACAACAGATATAATTATACTATTTTAAGATAAGTATTATTTTTAAATTTTTATTATTCATTTGATATCATTATTTCAATTGTTAATTATTATACATATTCTGTTATGTTTGTTTATATTAAATATATTTATTTCTACATCAGTTAATGAGTGTACATGTTTATTGAGATAATTTAATTTTGCTGCAAAGGCTTTACTTTTCAGTTTTAAATCGTGGAATATAAAATTGTTTGTTAGAATTTTTCAGGTGATCAACTTATATTTTGTCGTTGTTGTTTATTTTTTGTGTTTTGTTTTATAGCGTCATACGATGATTGACATGGGGTTTTGACGTTTGTCATGAGAATGGGAAGATCTATTGTGTTTGCAAAGTTACAAAGGGCTTTTGATTCCAATTCTTGTTAACGACTCATCGTCATGGATGAAATACAAAATGCTTGCAATCTTCTCAAGCACACAAATTTGCAGATAAGTATTTATTTTCAAAGTTGATTTAATGCTGAGATAGCTTACAAATTTTATCGTGATGGTGAGATAGCTCACCGAATGGTTTTCTGATGCTGAGATAGCTCACCGATTTATTTTGTGATGCTGAGATAGCTCACCGATTTGTTTTGTGATGCTGAGATAGCTCACTGATTTATTTTGTGATGCTGAGATAGCTCACCGATTTATTTTGTGATGCTGAGATAGCTCACCGATTTGTTTTGTGATGCTGAGATAGCTCACCGATTTGTTTTGTGATGCTGAGATAGCTCACCGATTTATTTTGTGATGCTGAGATAGCTCACTGATTTATTTTGTGATGCTGAGATAGCTCACCGATTTATTTGTGATGCTGAGATAGCTCACCGATTTATTTTGTGATGCTGAGATAGCTCACCAATTTATTTTGTGATGCCGAGATAGCTCACCGATTTGTTTTGTGATGCTGAGATAGCTCACTGATTTATTTTGTGATGCTGAGATAGCTCACCGATTTATTTTGTGATGCTGAGATAGCTCACCGATTTATTTTGTGATGCTGAGATAGCTCACCGATTTATTTTGTGATGCTGAGATAGCTCACCGATTTGTTTTGTGATGCTGAGATAGCTCACTGATTTATATTTTGTGATGCTAAGATAGTTCATCCATTTGTTTAGTGATTTTGAGAAAGCTCATTGTTTTATTTTCAGAATCCGTAAATGCAGTCAAAAACCAAAAGGCATATCTATTGCTTTGCTTTCGTCTTAAAGTTAAAATTTCATCATTCCTGGACACTACATAGTTTTCTATAGATAAGTATTATTTTCAACTATATTATAATAATTATTATTATTATTATCATCATCATTATTTTAAGTAAAACTTCAAAGAATATTGTTTTGTTTGCACTTGTTGTTTTGGATTTATAATTTTCACACTTTATTTGTTTTAAATTGGTTTCTAATAATCTAATCTGAATCAAGTCTAATAGCTCAGGTTTTATTTTATTTTTTATTTAATATGGTATTCTGTTTTAAATTTATAAATACAGTTCTTTAAAATGTTTTATATAAATGCTTTCTTTGTTTTGCTCGATTGAAAGTTGTCAAATACAATGCCTAAATCCTATTCTGTTGTTTTGGTTTCTTTCTAGTAAGATTATTACATGGGATAAGTGAATAATTGTTTTACTCACGACTCAGAGTGAGTAAATACAATTTTGATTTGCAGACAAATGAATGCAATACAATTTTTGTGTAGCATGGTTATTTATTCATTTCAGTATTAATGCCACAGTCTGGGATAGAACCAAAAGATTTTATTACTTTGTAAAATGCCAAAGATGACAAAAGGGAATAATTCAGCCTATTTTTGCGGCATCATACATTTTATTCGACGCCCTCAAAGTTGTATATTGCAATAAAGAATGACTTCTATGGGTTCTTGATTTTTTAATTTGGTAAAGATTATGCTACGATGTTAAGTACAAATCTTATATTCTCCAAGACAAAATTCGCTATAAAATTCGCTTTGTCCGATAAGTTTGTTTTCATTGTTATCTAAAATGTTGTTTGCTATCTTTTCATCTTTGAAATGCTACCCCTGCGACCAGTGCAGACTAAGATGAGTCTGCTCATCAGGCCGTCTATCATGGTATGCAATGTTTGCTATTTAGTCTGTAAATATTTATAATCATTTGAATTAAAACAAATTCGTCCCTGGGTGGGCTTGAACCACCAACCTTTCGGTTAACAGCCGAACGCGCTAACCGATTGCGCCACAGAGACCTATGCAAATATTTATATATTATGATAGTCTATGTCGGAAATCTGCTAAATTATATGCAACAGATATATTTACATACATTTATCACATGAATAGTTTGCTGCTAACAGTGCTTTTATCTTTATATCTGTAACTTAAAGGTCAATTCGGTGAATATTAAAATAAATCTGAGCTTTTTTTAGGAGTAGAAAAAACGATCATATTATAAAACAAATTGTGGTGAGTAAATTAGCCATCACGCTGTGGAGTATAATTTCGAGAAAGAAGAGCTTTCCTTGAGAGCTATAAAATAACGGCAAGGTGTTATTATTAGAGTGACCGTAAATTATGGCTTTAGCCGTGAAGCTTTAATAGAACGTAGATTTAGACAATATAATTATATCAATAATTAAGTAGAGCAGGATAAATAGTAATTAAGTAACAATTTTCTTGCTTGAATTATGAAGGTGGATATTAGGATGTGTTAGTGATTTCTATATTATTAACTAAGGGACAATTGATATTCATCAACAATAATGCTATTCAAATCGTAATCAATTCCTTTTAAGACTATAGCTTTAACCAAAGTAAGAAATACATTGAGTTTTAATTTGTGTTATTTTATTGGTTTACACAAGTATCTGATATTAACTCCAAAGATTATAAGGGGCGTCCGTGGCCGAGTGGTTAAGGTTGTTGACTTCAAACCACTTGCCCCTCACCGCTGTGGGTTCGAATCCCGACATGGACTTATTCTTTATTTGAGGAAGGTATCCAGCTAGCTTACGGAACGTCGGTGGTTCTACTCGGGTGCCCGTTCGTGCCTGAAATAATGCACGGAAGGGCACCTGAGCTCTTCCTCCACCAGTAAAGCTGGAACGCCACGATATGACCTATACTGTGTCGATATGACGTAAAACCCAAAACAAACAAACATAGAATAAAGTGATTTCGAATGGAAACAATAGTCTTGAACATTTATATAGACAGAAAGCTACAAATAATTTTAATGTATCCAGACAAAGATTATTCTGTTCTTAAGGCTGCATAACAATTAGTCTACGGATAAACATTATATACATTATTCATGTGGCATTTTAATATTGTTATAAAAATATATGTGCATTATAAGTAACTTATGTTGTGAAAAATGTAATTAACGAATCATATTAATACTTTATGCAAATTCTATACACTGCATTCATGCACCTCAGAAGGTCTTGAATTCGTTTGAAATAATGAGTCATTTTCGTATTTGAATTACATAATATTCAATTATATTTTGACTCGGTGAAACATCAGTTTTGCCTTCGAATATTATTATACGACACAGTTCTAGGACCGAAATAAAATTAAAGTATGGATGATGATGCTATTTGTAGTCTGAAAGCTTTTACCGTTTTTTCTAAGATATGCAATGCACAAAGTGTTAGAATATAATTATTACTTTTGTGCATATAATCTACTGTATCCATTTTAGTAAATATGTTACATTTGTTACTGCAATATTCTATTCTTGTTTTGTTTATTGTTATTGTAACAGATGATGAAGAAAAAAATGCCTTTTTCTAGTAATTAAGGCACTATATGAACGAACACCATACCAACAGCAAACGAACACAATGCACAGCAAGTAGATACTTACATGAAGTTCTTTATAATTTCAAAACGTTTTTATTTTGAAACATCAAATACATATTCAATGCATGTTTCCAGACATCTGATATCTAAATGAGTTTTTGAATATTTGCTGGAACAAGCAATCCTGTCATTTTAAACTCTTGTTTCGAAATTGCTTTCCGTTCACATTCAGAAAGTACTATATTCTCTGTGGAGTTTAGTCGGTTCCATTAAATATTCATATGTTCTTGAATTTATTTTTTCATTTCACTCATTATTTTTAAAAAGAAGATATCCCTAGAGGAATATTACTAAAACTCAATTCAAAGCAAAATTATGCAGCGTAATTTATATCATGTCCACTACATCAAAGTATCGTTATAAGACATATTTAAAACATGACATCAATTTAGGTGCATGTTGAACTAATGGTAATTATTTCTTCGTTTTGAAAGTTTGCAAAACAAAACCAAAAGGTTATTTTGCTATTATTCGTTATCACATATGTACCAAGCACTCTGTATTATTATGCTTACAGCGTTATTGCACAAGCAGAAAGCAATTAATATATGGATTTATTGATTTAATAATTTAATATTTATGCGCTGGTTTATGGTATCATTTTGATTTGTGAAATATTTTGTCTTTGAGGGAATCTTATCAGTTTATGGTCAATACTTAATCAAATAATGTGGTCTAAAAACACTTCTTTCGGATATGAATATATTTACAGTTTTAATATTACTAAAAAGGTAGAGTATGCCTTTACTTTGCTATTGTGGCCAGGACATGTCATTGTTACGCCGCAATTAGAAACAAATCAGATTCTGACAAGTCCGTTTAAAACAGATGTAAATAGCATACTTTTAGTATTATAACATTTTAAAGAAAGCAAATGCATTCAACATTAATGTTGGCATGGAGACGTGTATACAATTTCAATTAATTTATCATTAT